TAGTGCAATTTTAACAAATGCTTGTTTTATGGTTTTATTTCTACACTATGGGCACTTTTTGTGGCTGTGAGCTTTGATCCTAGAAGCAAGGTGACAGTACATGCAGCACCCCAGGAAGTGGCTGGTATGTAAGGAGCTTTGAGATTAGTGGAGAGCCATTGTTGTTACCCCATGGGAAGGGGAGAGGCACATTGTGACCTACTATAACCTGTGGATCCATATATGAAGGTGAGGGGCCATTGGGTATCACGATTGTGTGGTGGAGCACAAATATTGAAGATTTACAACACTGGGATTTTGGGCTCACTTACCAACAGGATAACCCTCTGACTAGCAACTGGAAGGGACTATTTTTGACACATATTTATCAGAGACTTTTTACACTTGTGTATTTTTGTTTTGAAGTGTTTCACAGGCACCTCTGGGTGGTTTTCTATTTATTTTGTCTTAGATTGTTATGATATAGGGCAGCGTATTTCCTTTAATTTCTTTTTTTGAGTTTCAGTGTAGCCAGATTGTAGGGGATCGAATAGGTTGTTGTCAGTGAGGTAGTGACTCATACAGTTGTGGATAAGGCGTTCAAGAAGCTTGGAGGCAAACAGGAGCAGGGAGATGTTGAGTTATTCATACAGGTGGGGTTCAGTTAGGTTTTTTAAGCATGGGGGTAACCTGTACATGTATGAGTGGGGAGAGAAAGGTGCTGGAAGAGAGGGGAGAGGTTGAAGATGTGGGGTTAGAGAGTGTTTAGGAGAGAGCAGGAAGGGGGTTGTAGTAATTGAGAGGGAACAGGGTCCACAAGACAGGTGGTGAGGTGGGCCTCAGAAAGGCATTTGTCAACATCTTCAGTGGTAAGAGGGTTAAAGGAGAAAAGTATTAAGTGTGGTGTTGGACCTGGTGTATTGGTTAGAGTAGAAGGCTGGACGCTGAATATCTCCTGGGCAGTAAGTAAGTAGGTTTGTTAAGCAGTGGGGAGGCAGGAGTTGTATTTGAGAAGGGCAGATTTGTAGAGGGTGAAGTCTTTCAGCAATATAATTTTAAACCATGCTTGCTTGAAGGCACAGTTGCATCTCTTGAGAGTTCAGGGTTGTAGCAGGTGAGGCTTGGTTTTGCATGTAGAGAGAGGAGCAAATGTCCAGGGAGGATGATAGTAAGTTTTTGTAGACAGAAGAGGCCAGGTCTTGGCAGGACAGGGGTGTGATTTTATCATAAATGCTGTCAGTCAGTAGCAGAGTGCAGAGGGGAAGGGTTGAGGTGGCTAAAGGCTTCTACAGGTAGCTGTTTGCAGGTGGGAGGTAGGAGACAGGAAGAGTGTGAAATTGATAAGGTTGTGATTGGAGAGAGGAAAGGGGGTGTTAGAGAGGTTGCAGGGAGTGCAGAACTGGGGTAATACGAGGTCAAGAGTGTTGCCATTGGAGTGAGTGGTTTTTTGTGTCCATTGTGTTAGGTTAAAAGAGGAGGATGGGTTGAGTAGATGAGAAGTGGCTGAGGTGTTAACATTGACTAAATGTTAAAGTCACTGAAGATGATGGCAGGTACATCACAGGAGAGAAATTGGGGAAGCCATGCAGAGAAGTCTTTGAGAAAGCATGATACTGGGTTGGGAGGTTGGTAAATTACAGCAATCCTCAGAAACAAAAACAGGAATCTGTTTCTCTGTTGGGTCTGGGTGAGTGAGTCCAGCAGAGGGCAGCTGGAGAGGCAGAGTCGGATTCCTGGAGCCAGGTTTTAGCAATGGCAAGTAGATTCAGTGATCTGGAGAGGAAAAGGTAATTGACAGAGGCAAGTTTGTTAGAGATTGGGCAGTCATTCCAGAGGGCACATATGACAGGGGGGTGCCTGGCTCATGGCAGGAGGGGAATTGAAATGAGAGTAAGGGTTATGGCGGCTGGCAGATAAGGGAGACTGCCACTTCTGGGGGTGAGAGTTAGATGGTGAAGGGCCAGGGTTTGGAGCGCTATCCCCAGAATTTAGGAGTAGTAGGAGCGTGAGGGTGGTAAGTTGGGAGCTGCATTTATACAAGGACAAGTCCCACAGTGAATTGGAAGTGGTAATATTGTGTGTGCTCAGAAAGAGCAGAGATGATAAGTGCATTAATATTGAGAGGGCAGAATTAAGGGTGATATGTACAGGTTGTGGGGTGGGAGGGGGGGGGGGGGGGGAGTAAAGAAATGAGAGTTTGAGTAGAGAGGGCATTATTGCAAAGACAAAGATTAGTATGAACATGTTGGAGAGTGAGGGGGAAAGAAGGCTGAGGGAAAGAGCTAAAAAATTAATGTTAACTTTCAGACAAGTTGGAGTGGAGCACTAATGATTGTACTTGCCTTTGTTGAAGTGCCTTAGTTAAAGTGTCGTGCTGAAAGTGCCATGCACTTTGCACAAAAATGGTTGTAAAGGAAGTGGCCAGCCTACCCTCACAAGCCATCCCAAGAGTTGTACTGAAGTTATACTTGGATGGAGTAGGGGGAGGTTGGACAGTTAATCAATTAAAAGCTAATAAAAAGGCACATGGTGAAAGTGGAGGTTTTATGCCTTAAACAGATTGTAAAGCAGGATGGAGACAGCAAGAAAAATGCTAGGTATTTGATCTTGGCCAAGGCACATTAAAAGTATACAAGGGAGAGGTGCAGCGCTAGCTATATGAATATACTTATATATCTGATAAAACATACATATAAATCAATAAAAAGTGCTATTAAAGTGCAGAATGGTGACTAAATGATGAATTCAGTCCATAACGTGCTCAGAATCCAAGAGAGTCCTTTAAGAGCTCCAATCCCTGGATTCGTGGATGAGGTGAATAAAAGGTAAAAAAGTGCGCACTCACCAAATGCGCAATTCAAATGCGCATTCAAAGCTGATATTCCGAGGTCACCATATGGATCTGGTCAGATCTGGTCACAGAAAAGCCCTCCGCCACCTGGTAGTGTACTCCACACTTAGAGGAAAAGGCCGCTCTGCAGATGTAAGGGACTCCAAATGCGCAATTCAAATGCGCATTCAAAGCTGATATTCCGAGGTCACCATATGGATCTGGTCAGATCTGGTCACAGAAAAACCCTCCGCCACCTGGTAGTGTACTCCACACTTAGAGGAAAAGGCCGCTCTGCAGATGTAAGGGACTCCCAACAGAGCCCAAAGAACAAAGGAGGCCAAATAGTGTGATACCAGATAGGTAAGGGGTATTTATTCCCAACAACACACAGTAATATACAGGCAGAGGCAGGAAGGATACTGACCCATACAGTGGATATGTAATGGATGGGCCGCCGGGGCCCTCGTGGCACATTAAAAGTAGTTGCAACTCAATATAGACAAGTATAAACAGCAATTTCAAAGTCTTTACAAGGCAGAAGTTGATTTCAGTCATGCAAAGTAGCCCAGCATTTCAGAGGAGAGTGCAGACAGTGGCTACCAATGATTACAGCAAGGCAGATGTGGATTTCAGTAATGAAAATAGTTTAGTGTTGCAGAGATGAGTGCAGACAGTGGTTAACTGAAAGATGAAATCAGAGAAAACATAATGAGAGGATGTGTGAATATGCCTTGTATTAAAGCAGATGAAGTTTGAATAGCCAACCAGCAACAAAGAAGACTAGATGAATGCATAGGATCACAAGCACATTGAATAGCAGGACCTCTGGAGGTGTTTTTACAACCCCAACCTGACCAGCATGACAGCATGATTCCTGGGGGGGAAGGATCATATGGACATCCTGTATATTAATCTGCTTACAAAACTCAACTCTGAGCCTGGAACAGGAATGAGCTTTTGTGACCCTTGGTGCAAGATATCTTCCACAAAGGTTCAAGGAAGCAATTTGTTGGGACCCAGCTGAGGGAGTGCCTCAAGACTGGACAAGGGGCCCTAATGTTTGAAAATTCAGAGAGAATGGTTGGGTGTGAGCCTAGAGGAACCCCTCCTTCCCTGTCCATCTCACTCCCTCTCCCTATTACCTCATACCATTTTCCTATTTGTAACTACAATGTATCTATATCAATTTTTAATTAAACCCAACCTTAGTTTTAAGAGCTATTGGTCTTTCATTAGAATTAACTCACCCCAAACAGAGCACAATTTACACTATATGGATTATTTCTAGCATGCCCAATTTTGAAGGTTGTCCAAATTTTTGCTTGGTACCTGCAGTTTACTAGGTAATTTATATATCTTAATTAGAGTGACCCATAACTGATGGATCAAGAGGATTCTTGTTGGGTTTATTAACCTCCCTAGCGGTCTGATTATGTCCATATTTCTGTGCTCAAAGTGGTACATTTTTTTGCATGGAAATATGTCTTTTTTTTATTGTAGGCCTGTAATTTTTAGGAATAACTCACTGAAATCTGTCCGAACAAGAGTCTTGTAAACATTCCGGGAAGGATAAAACTTGAAACACGAAATAATAAATTATAATTTAATAAATAATCATAAAAATAATAATACAATAATACATTTAATTCAATAATATAATCAAACCAAAAACACTGAAATTTGAAATATAGCGCCAAGTTTGCACATCACTGAGCAAAGTCGCAAAATCGTTTTCAGTGTCTGATGACGAATTTCCCCACGAATCATTATCACTCAATTCTGCAAGTAGTTCTGATTTACTATCGCTGTTCTCTAGCTGGTCTAAAACTGATTTTGACCTAAAGTGACACTTTTTGGACGCCATGGACGTTCTCAGTTTCCAGGCAGAAAGAACAGTAAAAATGCAGACAGGGCACAGGACAAAGCACTCGGGACAAAATGTATGTGAAATGGTTTGATACAGTAATGTTATACTATGTGATTTTAGTGTATTTAGTGAATGTCACTTTTTGTCATTTTCAAATTTCCCGCCGTTCCGTCCCCCGTACGTCTCAACGTTGTAGGGGACGGAACCCAGATGACAGATGCCGGCATCCACCGGATTACATTGCCGGGGACACTGCAGGAGGGACATCGCGGGAGCGCAGGACAAGGTAAGTGATCGAGGGATCGTAGAGCAGAGCCGCATGGTAAGCCCGAGTGTAGCTCGGGGTTACTGCTTGTGGTACTGAAACTTTACCCCAGCTACACTCAGGAATACCACCAGGGAGGTTAAAGTGATATTAAAGGCAATTTTGTTTTTGTTTTAAAAATAACAACCATGTTATACTTACCCGCACTGTGCAGTAGTTTTAAACAGAACAGCCATGATCTGCCTCTTCTTCGGTCCCCAGCAAGCGCTCCTGGCCCCTCCCTCCTGCCGAGTTCCTCCAGAGAAAGCAGCTTGCTTTGAAGACACCTAAGCAGGCTCTCTCCTGAGCCGCTGTTCTGCATGTCCATTAACACACAGAGCAACACCCCCTCTCTCTCCGCAATGGCTCACTGTGATTGCAGCTGCTGCCGTCTCAGCCAATGAATAGGGAGAGTCCCTGGAGAGCTGAGGCTTCAGGTGTACATAGCTGGATCGCTATGCTGCTCAGGTAGGTATTAGTGGGGTTGTTGGGGGGGGGGGGAGGCTGATGCACACAGAAGGTTTTTTACCTTCATGGAAGGAATGCATGAAGGTAAAATACCTTGAGCCTTCACAACCACTTTAATATCAGTTATATGTGTGTAGCACCATCTTAGTTAGCTAGGGGGAGCTAGCTAGTTATTATTTAGATAGAAGACTGAGTAGCAGCCTGGGTGATAGTCAGAGGGATCAAATTTAGTTCTGAGCTGAGAGGCTTTGCAGATCAGCACACTGATACCCCCCCTAATCTAGAGACTTGGTGAAGATTCTAGATGCAGTGGGCGCTGGTGAGGAGGGGCTGGCCTGCACACTCAGAGAACTCTGACTAATCCTCAAGCAGGAGGCTTGGCATGGGGCCAGGGCAGCCTTTAAGTGTGGCTGAACCTGCTCAGCAGCAGGAGAGTTGGGTGGAATGGTGAGAGAGGAAGAGATGCAGGAGCCTGGGAGGGGGCTGAGTGGGAAGGGGCCTAGCTACAGGCTGGGTCTTGGACAGGAGGATCGCTCAGCCTCAGTCCCTGGAGGGAGGACTACCTGTGGAGCCAGGAAAGGAGCCAGCCCACAGGAAAGAGACAAATTAATCCTACACTCCCTGGGCCAGCTAAGGGGAAAAGAGCACTCTGGTGGTAAACCCGATTAGAGCCTTACCAAGGACTGTTCATCTTAAAGTGGTAGGCACTGGATTCCCTTGCTGATGGAATCCTCCAGACAGCTGGGTAAAAAAAGAGGATTTATCTGGGGTCTGAGATGGTATGCCAGGAGAGGCTAGAGAGCTCCCCCAGAAGAGTTTTGCTGTCTAAAAGACTTGTACATAGTTGCCAGGAATTTGATCTCAATTTGCTGTTTCATTGGGCATCCTCTGCATCCCTCATCCCCATGCGAAGTTTATTACCCCTAATAAAATCCAAAAAAAAAAAACAAGCTCAAAGACTGTTTTACTGTCTCTGAAATGAAAGTCTGTGGGAAGTGCGTATTGCCTGGCTGTGCAGGACTATAGGGGGACCCAAATCTTTAGCGACTCCTAAGGGGTACTGCTACATGTGATTCCTTTTAGTTGTGACACAATGGCATGTTTGAGATATAGAAATAATTTGTGACTTATTTACCCAACCACAGATTGCTAACGGGAGAGAGATACAAACTCCTCTTGGAATACAATAAACTTTGGACAAATAATTTTGAGTGCAATTTTCCAGCAAAACTGAATTTTGAGCATACAATATATGGTGAAGTGTAATACATGTGGACTCCTGTAGTTATATAAGATAATCAATGACAAACCATTATAGGTGGTCATTACACAAGATATTTTTTTGGAGTGGCTGATGCAATGTAACAATACCAATTATTTTTAGATATGATGGATAAAACATGATTTCGTCATTAGACATTTACCAACATTAAATAATTAAAGTGTGTATTTTATTTATTTACTTGTGGTAACTGTTTAAAGTACACTAAATGGTATCCATATTCTCAACAAAGAACTTATACAAATCCAGTACTTGATGGTCCTATAATCTATTTTTAATACCATTTTTACCTCGGTTTTCGCCTCCTTTGTCATATACTCCTGAACCTCCCCTTTTCATCCTCTCTTCAGTTTGTTTAGAACAAGCAGTACATGTTAGCTGTGCCCATGTGCACTCCTCTATGCAAAGTACAAGTCCCATGGCCTTTAGTCCCCCGTCTATCTCGAGAGTGAGCAAGAGAGGGTGGCTATGTTCCTACATGCAGCGAGACCATGGGAAATGAACATCCTCTAACAGGAAGCAGAAAAAAATAAATAGATAAATACAAACAGGAATTTGAAGATTTAGAGGAGGCTGAGGCAATATAAGGTAGTTTTTGAGTTAGGATCACATACTCAAATAGATTTTTTAAACCAGACTTCAGCGTCACTTTAAAGCGGAGTTCCACTCACTCTGTAAAAAAATAAAAGTCAGCAGCTACAAAAACTGCAGCTGCTGACTCTTAAAAAACAGCCACTTACCTGTCCCACGATCCTGTGTTGCACCCGCCGCAGCCGCTATATTCCAGGGCGCCAGCATCTTCAGTGTGGGCACTTAAGTTGCAGCTTCACAGCCGGGTGCCCACTGCCATGCGTGATTAGCGCTGAACTTCCTGAATGGCCCCGTCATCTTCTGGGACCTGTCACATGTCCCACAAGACTTTGGGGAGGGTAGGAGGATATCTCCTGTTTCTGATTGCCTAGGCGATCGCAGCGGAAGTGGGAGCGGGTACCTCTCAAATTCGTCCCCCCCAGCTCCCCAAAGGTGCCAATCCTTAATGGGGAGCGGGGGACCAATCTTTAAAGCGGAACTTCCCCTTTTGGGTGGAACTCTGCTTTAAGCCTTTTAGAGTGCATTTTGTCTGTAAGCATTTTTATCCCTATCCATTACTGTGTCTGGTAAAACTGTTATCAAGATAAAAAGGAGGGATTATCTCTTAAATAAAAGCCCCAAAAAGCAAAATACACTAAAATGAATTTTACTGCACACAAACACAATATAATACCCAAGAGATGGGGTTGGGATATGTAAATAAATACCACGCATGTCAATCATCAAAATTGCATGAGCCCTTGAAAAGAAGCAGTGAAACTTGTTTAAAACAAGCCCTCATTTATCTCTGTATTTATAACCATTGTGAAGAAATTAATTTTCAACGTCTCCCAAAAAGGCCATTGGTTTTTCTATGAGTGCAGATCTTGGCAGTCTGCTAGTGTAATGTAAACAATTAAGAGGTGTTTCTAAGCTATTAGGGCTTGTATATGCTTGCGGTTGGCCTTTGAAGCTTAAGGGGGAATGGTTGGGGGGGAAGGGGGTTGTAAAAAATTTGACTGTTTTTAGTGTCCCCCCAACTGCCCTCCCTTAATCTTCAAAGGCAGCTGGACAGGGTATACACTCAGGCCACAATGCTTTGCTGCTTTAGCAAATTAGACCTCCTCTGTCGCAGGAGGCTGCAAAAAAAACCACCATGCAACAGAGTGTGATGCTTTGTAATATCACCTCCACCCCAGATCACTTTTTAAGTGTCGCATGCTGAAAATCTAACCTTAGAAACTTACTAGAACCTGACTTCAAAGTCTTTGTTGGAATATTTGAGAAGGAAAAACTTAATATTTTACTGCTTGTCAAGGAAATGTAAATATAAATGTCCATAGTCAGGGGCAATTTAAGGCATGTTGCCTTTATATTACATTTACCAAACAAAGTTCAAATCTAAGCTGGGCATTGATAGAGATATGGGGATTGATTTACTAAAGAAGTAGAACATTTTAGCAATCAAAGATAATTATTTTAGTGAATGAAGTTGTGCTGGCTTAATTTATCCATGCTTTTTTTATTTAATTTTCCTTGCACATGATTGACAATTCTTTGTAAAGTGAATTTTTACTTTGTTCCACCTCACTAAGGTTCCATTCACACTTGCATATTTCACTCATGTGCTTGTTATGCTATTTTTGTGCATTTGTCACATGGCAGTATAGGACAGCCCTGCCCAACGCACAACAAAAAAGACAATGTAGCTTCTGTGCCTTTTTTTTGGGGGGGTGAGACTCACACTTTTTTGTACTGTGTTTTTGTGTGTTTTTTGTGTGGTTGGATAAAATGCGTGTTGGCTGTGTTTGTGGTGCCATTAACCTCCCTAGCGGTCTGATTATGTCCATATTTCTGTGCTCAAAGCGGTACATTTTTTTGCATGGAAATATGTATTTTTTTTATTGTAGGCCTGTAATTTTTAAGAATAACTCACTGAAATCTGTCCGAGCAAGAGTCTAGTAAACATCCCGGGGATGTTAAAACTTGAAACACGAAATCATAAATTAATAATATAATAAATAATCATAAAAAATAATAATATAATAATAAATTTAATTCAATAATGTAATCAAACCGAAAACACTGAAATTTGAAATAGAGCGCCAAGTTCGCACATCGCTGAGCTTAGTCGCAAAATCGTTTTCAGCGTCTAATGATGAAATTTCCCCACAAATCATTATCACTAAATTCTGAAAGTGGTTCTAATTTACTATCGCTGTTCTCTAGCTGGTCTAAAACCGCTTTTGACCTAAAGAGAAGCTTTTTGGACACCATGGATGTTTCTCAGTTTCCAGGCAGAAAGAACAGTAAAAATGCAGGCAGGGCACAGGACAAAGCACTCAGGACAAAATGTATGTGAAATGCTTTGAGACAGTAATGTTTTACTATGTGATTTTAGTGTATTTATGAATGTCACATTTTTACATTTTTGAATTTCCCGCCAGTTCCGTCCCCCGTACGTCCTGTACCTACTGACGCTCGCAGGGTACGGAACCCGGAAGACGGACGCCGACATCAGCCGGAGGACATGGCTGGGGACACTGCAGGGGGGACATTGCGGGAGCAAAGGACAAGGTAAGAGATCGAGGGATCCCGGAGCAGCGCTGCAGGGTAATCCCGAGTGTAGCTCTGGGTCTCCGCTTTTGGTACTGAAAGTTTACCCTGAGCTACACTCGGGAATACCGCTAGGGGGGGTTAAGGAATAATGGCACTGCACA